GTTTGCCTAAAGTTTAAAAAATGTATGGTATGATAAATACCTGTAGGTACATTTTACAAGGCATTATTATAACTACATACCAATAACTTTGAGACAGTCAATAAAATGTTGGTTTGTCATTCTATGGAAACCGGTGTGTCAAATAAATACTGTGCAACAATTTTTACTAAATCACTTAGAGACAAATCACTTAGAGGTAAATAGAGAACATATGTATCTGTAGTCCCTAAATTAGTACTCGTAGTTATTAGCTTTAGTACACACTGGTTAGACTTCGAAACTACTTAAATTTTTTACTGCGCTGACGGGTGGAAATCTTTTGATAATTATATCTCATTTTATTTATTTATATCTAATTTTATATAATCGCCCTTGAGATATAACGTATTCATTAAAGAATAATTATGAAAATTGTGGTTCGATTTTCATAATTCGTGAAGACACCTGGTTAACTTAAAATTACAGACGACTTGAATACTTATTTTTTAAAATTGGTCTATAACGGAGGTCATGATCGTGTAATGTCTAGATACTAAAAACCTACTTCTATATGAAAATGAACGTAGTTGCCTACATATTAATGATTATTATTACTTGTATTTGATAATAATTTAAACATCAATTAAATAAACATAAAATGTTCCAGAAGCAGATACAAATACAATATAATATGTAGATAATACCAATTTATTCTTTAATAATGTTGCAGGTGAAGTGTTAATTTACGTCATTGTATTGCGTGGGTGTTGAGCAACCATTTGAGTTTATTGTTTGTTTTTTAGATGTCACGATAATTTAATATCCGTCGAACGAAGTCATTGATATTTTAAATTTGAATTTATATATTACTAGAAGAACCCGCCGCTTCGCTTGCACAAAAACTGCAAAAAATATCTAAAAAGGTAGTTTAATACAAACTTTCATCCCCTATTTAATCCCCTTATACGATGAATTTCGAAAAATGCTAAAACACATATTTATTTAATTTTATTGAAGAGCATTAATACCAAGTTTCAAGTAATTCTGATCACAAATATTTTTTGGATTGTATTATAGCCTATTTTCCCGTGGTAATTAGATAATCTCCCACGGTAAAAAGTAGCCTATGTCACTCTCCAGCCCTCTAATTATCACCACACAAAAAATTACGCCAATTCGTTACTCTGTTTCGACGTGAAAGAAAGACAAACAAACAAACACACTTTCATATTTATAATATTAGTATGGACTATTTGTTACCTTTTAGCTTGTACGCGCGAGGTTCATAATTTACTTTGGCTACATAAAAGTTCCGTTTATTCTTCAATCGTAAATTAAGAACAGATGCCAGAGGGACTCCAATTGTATGTGTATATCTGATACTCCTTCACGCTAACGGCTGGACGAATTTGATGACGATGAAATTTAATATACAGCTATGACCTGGAGTAACTCATAGGTTACTGTAAGGTATTTAACGACACTCCTTACACAAGTATGTAGAATGCAGATACAATATGTACAAACCAAAAACAATACAATTACTCTTTGTAATGCGGGAAATGGGCGAAATAAATAATCTGAATGGCTTTCAATGTGCATTGTGCACGTTACGATTTTCGATGCCTTACTTTCTACTCATTTTTACAATCGTCTTTCATAATGCAAACTGCTTTAAATTACCAATTTGCTCCACTAATTAATTATCTAACGAAATAGGAATTATATTCACGAGTTTTTGCTTGCGGCTGCACGTTGCCCATAATCAGTTTCCCAGTGCCAGACTCTCCAGTAATCAAACAAGGTGTTGCCACCATCGATTGACGCGAAAATTGCAGGTGTAAACGATACAGTGGATTGAAATATATCCGGATATACAAAAGCATCTAAAATTGGATTGCATCTTTAAAAAATTGGCGACGAAATGCCAATAAAATTACAACCTAAAAGGAAACTCAATGTCGGTCAATTAAGGTAATAATCGTTAACTAAATTATGCGGACTGCTTCAGTTGATGCCATTGTGTTGAATACCTTTATTTTTTCATTATTAATATTATAAATAATTGAAATTTATATTTATAGTTTTTTGTGAAATAAAATTTATTAAACCTAAGAGTAGATTTCCCTTTTTAAAGCAGAGGTCACTTGGATATAAGTACTAAAAACAAATATGGTTCCTCATATATAGTGCCTTAATTGCTGACCACAAAAAGAATAAACTATGTTAAAGAAAAAAGAAAATACCTAAGTTAAAAATATTCTGATGTCGCAAAAAATATTTCCAAGATATCCATTTACTAGGTACTTAACATTTTTTTGACAAATAGTAGGATTTTTCTCACAATGTCAAGTTGCAAGATAAATAAAAACTTGTTTAAATAAGACATGGTACGTGTAGGAAACCCAAAAATTATAATTAAATTATTAACTATTTATTTATTAACGTCAAGTATTATTAAAATCACAATTTCATTCGTCGTTTTTTTTCACTTAAAAAAATTCGGAGGCTTTAATTTTTTGGTTATATTTGGAATATATTTAAAATAAATAAAGTAAGCAGAAACTACGATTACAATCAGTTTATTAATATCATTGATCAGTTAAATATTTTGAACATATTAACGGCGTTGAAGGTGATGTCCTTATAGAGAATATTAATTTTTAACGTGCCAAAAGTGACACTGGACTACTTTAAAATAAAAAGGATTCGGATGTTTTAAAACCTTTCTTAAACCTGTCACAGGTCTGTTGAATTAGATTGTATGGTTGAATTAGGTTCCTTATTGCTATTATAAATGTGAAGGTGTTTTAATTTGTTTGATCTTATTTCACAATGGTTTTTCACAGAAATAGATTGTGGGTCGGAAAAGAATATAGGGTCCTAGGGAACGTTTTATCCCACTTATTTTCATACGCTTCCAATATTTGACTCACTTGCTCGCTGGTATCTAGTTTAAAGTATTTAGCGTTTACTAGCAGGTTTGAAGAGGAAGAAAGGATGAAGTGATAGTAGTTGAACCTTTAGCGTTATTGCGCCGCGAAAGGGGTGCAGCATAAAAGGATACTGGTACATTTTAACTTACAAGTATACGAGTAAACTGAAATGTAATCTCTAAACTCTATTGTTTTAACGAAACTCTCAAACTTTGGTGGGCGGCAATTCGACACGAACGGTGAGAAATAACATGGAGAATCCATGGCTTTACTCGCTCTCCGAGACTAGGGAATGTAACACGAATTTTTGAACTCCGCGAAATTGTCTTGACAGAAAAACTTAAAAACTAAACTTGCTATCTTTAGTTATAAAGTTTTTCTGTCAAGACTACTACACCACCGCAATATTATGTAAATATGATTTTTCTTAATGTATGCCTATTTTTGTTAGTTTAAATTATTTGTTCACAGTTTCTCAAGCACCCACAATATTTGATGTGTCCACAATAAATAAATTAACGCATATAGTTTGTATTAACGTTGTTTAATTATTACATTTTTTTTGTAATAAACATAATAATTTATGTCTCTGCGTATACAAAAATTTATAATACATCTGTTTATTTGCGTCAATACCACATTTACAAAAAAATATGACATGGTCAAATGTTGAATATGTTTGTGATTGTGCATCATTTATATTAAATTAATATCTATACAGATAAATAAAAGTGAAGTGTCTGTTTGTAATATCAAAATAACAGCTTTTTACTAAATGCGTATGAAATTATATACGGTAGGTACCTATTAGAAAAAATAATGGCATGTTTTCGTTCATAGCGTAAACTTATTACATTTTTAATGTAGAATATTAAGGTCAGGTTATTTTTAAGTGCCCTTGAACACCAGACAGTGTTCAGTTTACTCTACGACTACCATACTCTTATCTTTCCACTGACTATTTTTGACCCGATTTCTTTGACCGAATATCTTGTCAAATAAATGAGTTTTCATAGTTTTTTTCTTAATTGTCAGGTTAACCCTTTACAAATCTTAATAAAAATGTTAATAAATTCATATAAACAAAATCTTTTTACACTCTACCTTAAATGTTTTTGCTAAAATAATTATTAATTACATACATTATTGTATTGGATATTTAGCTATACGTAATAAGTGATCAAAATGGCCTAAAAGTTTTTTTTTCGAACAATTTTGGCTGTCTCTACCATATAATAACAAATAAATACCTACAAGTACTTAATTTTTATCTCTATTACAAAAATGTTTGTATTATCATCGAATTGACATTAATGTCTTAATATCGTAATATACTTGGCACTTGTTTATTAATGTCTACCTACTTATATAAACACATTGCAATATTGATAGAACATTATTGCTTATTAAATTATTTATATAAAGCTGTTAATACTTGAGCGACAATTATTTGAATCAATCAATATTTTATTGTTTATTTCACTAAAAAAAAAAACAAAGAAGAATATAAAAATATAGAAGAGATCCATTAAATTCAAACTCAAAGGTAGAATGAAAACTCAATAATAGATATAAAAACAGTACTAGCTTTTCGAGGTTAAAAACCTCTTTATTAGAACATTTTTTTAAATATTTATTATAAGTGCTTTTTACTGCGCTTTGACAAATATCTATATAAGTCTCTAATTGACTTGAAAGTAATCAATAAAATAAGCATTACATAAATACTACGTATTTACATATTAGTATATATTCCCTTGAAATACGGACAAATAACATAGCAAAATAAACAGCATAATAAGATATTATACTTTCGGTCACGTTTAAAGAGTTACTGTTAAAAATTTGCTATCATTTACGTAAAACGCTCGAGTGTCGAACTGTCGAATGGTACAAATGTTCAGTAGTAATATTGCGTACAACAGAGCGCTACTCCCGCGCAGTCCGTGCGCCGCGCGCATTACTGACGCCCGTGCTCTTAAAACACGCGTAAATCAAAAATGTGCAAATAATCTGCAATAAAATGTCGTTGAACCTTCTCCAGAGATCGTATGGGGAGCTATTAAGTGCTAAGTGATATTCATAATGCCGGAGTGTCCCGATTTTCCTTTCACCATACCCATTATTCGATACACCATGGAGGAGGATCGATCAGCCAGTTCTGACAGGCAGCAGCCGACGAAGAAAATGTCTTTGCTGACGCCTGTCAAAATTGAAACACCAGATGCTGGTAGGAGGTTATCCGAACCCACGAGATATTACATTCCACCGCAATGCAATAACAGGTTGTCACCAAGAAGTGCTAGGAAACGTGACAGAAGAAATTCCAAAACAGATTTAAAAGACTCTACCTGTAAAGAAACGTTTGGTCCTAAGCCATGTAACTGTGAAGATTGTAGAGCTTCAAGTCCTTTGCCTCCTGGGTATGGCCCACCTACATTGTCTCCTGGCTATGACCAAATGAAAACTTCTCTATTAGAGGTTCCCTGGAACGAGGACTTTACTGAGGCATCCAGTGATGATCTCAGTTCAGAATGGGATTCAGACGTTCCCGAACCACCTCGACCCACTCAAAAGGTAATTTGCATATATTATTATTTTATACAATTGATTAAAATTTTGCAATTTTAAATTACGTGGAACTTATTTACTTATTCTTACTTAGTATATAATTTTATTACATTAATAGAATTGGCATTTTAAACAAAAGAATATATAAGCAGCTATTTGCCTTGCAAATTTAACTAAATTTGTTGAAATATTCAAAAACGTTAAATGTTAAAATAAATAATATGTTAGAGTTATAATTTAATATTTTTTTTTCATTTACGAATTCATAGTAAACATTTATTCATATTTTCCCTAGCTTAAAAAGCTCACATAATAGTATAAAGAGAACTTCGTAATATAGTCTACAAAGTTCTCTTTATACTATTAGTACTGAACGTGAATAAAATTATTGCATCGCAATACAAAAAAATTAAGAGACAAGTTTAATCTGTAGTGATTGGTTGTGGAAAGAAAAAGTGAATAATTAAAAACCAGCTCCAAGTACCGACTAGTTAAGTGATTGAATGGGTTTATAGCATTATCGTTAATAAATTACATATTGGCGTATAATCTGGTTAATGTTAGCCATTAAATTGGAATGGAGAAGTATAATGTACGAAATTATAGAGTCAATTGTCAACATTCTGGAGATAAGCACAACATGATCTCATACGGCTTGTAAGTATCATTTGCGAGTATCTTTACAAGAGCAAAAAAAAAAATATTCGTAACTTAGGCCATTATCATGTTAATAGCTTTATAATTTAAACAAGGCATCTACGCTTGTGAGTCTACCGATAAACTGACATTATTATTTTAATTATATCTACGTAATATTATGAATACGAAAGTGTTTCTATTTCGTCATTTACAACAGCTATTCCATAACCTCAAAATTTAGCAACACGTGTCATAATAATGTCAAGGATTCCTGTTATACATTTTTTTTATTGAAGGACGAATACAAGGTCATATAATAACAGAACAGAACAGTTATCAATGTGTTTATTCAATTTTCTTATAACTCACTACAAAATATTAATTCGAACAAATTAAAAGCAACAAGCAATGGTCTCGTGATATAAAATATTGGCTTTATGCCAAAAAACCAGTTCTGTTATTTTTTTGCCAATTTTCTATATACATTAAAAAGAAACGAATCGAACGCGAGTCTTTTGGAATTTTTATATATTTTTTTATATTAAAACAAGATTTGTTTGTTATGCTACTTCTCACAGTCATTATGCATGCAAGTTTAATATCATCAAATACTAGTTTATAAAGCAGCCGTCCTCAGACGTTGGAAAGATTCGCACATTGTTTTAAAAAAATCGCACATTTCACATAGCGATGTCAATAAGCTGGCTTTGGTCATGCATACATATAAACTTTGGTAACTTTGTAAGGTCAAGTTTGTTTACATTGTGATATTTTTAGGGTCTACAACTTGTCTCGTCTTATTCACGTGGTGTTTATTTTTCCAGTTAATTGGTTTATAATTTATAACTAACTGACAACTTCTATGTGATTCACGTGATCAAGCCCCATGTCATCCATAAATAACTTCTTGGTGGTTGGTCTTAATGGTGGAATTATCTATATATGTAGATAAGCCGGAGGTCGCAGGATCCAATCTTGCTCAGGGCAAATTGTTATGCTTATATCAGCTATGGTCGCGATATGGAGTTAGGGCTAGTGAAAGCCGTTGAGTAAAATTATCATTTATTGATTAAGATTCAAGACTAAGAGCCTAATCCAAACTCTGTTGTATCTTATATAAATTTTACTACATCTTTATATGAATACGGCCTATACGCTATAGATTTTGAATATCAAAAAATAATTTCTTGCTTACTTCGAAAAATATTTGTTTGTTTGCTTCGAAAAATATTTGTTTTTTTGCTCAGTAGCTTGGCCTGAGCATTGAAGAATCAGCCAAGACGAAAAACTCTATGCAGATTAACAGTTTATTTTAGGCTTATCACCTGCCCCTTATTTTTTACTTAAAAGAATTATAATCCTAGATGATTAAAATTACTAACAACTAGCGGCTCACCTTTCACCTTTTCCGTGATAAAAAGTATCCTATGTGCTATTCCAGACTAATATCTATTTCTGTGCCAAATTTCATCTAGATACGTTCAGCCGTTCTAGCGTAATTGAGTTACAAACATCAATTTATCCAAACTTTCGCTTTTATATACTCGTACAAAGCATAGTAGTAAGATAAGATTAAAATTACTGTCTATCAATTAACATAATAATTATAATTCAAATTACTTTATATTATACTTTAAAAATAAATCACAGCAGTAAGTTATAATATTAATATGAACATCAGAGATATGTAGGTATACTCTTATTTTAAAACTTTGAGTAATAAATGGCTTACATATTTTGAATTTTTGGATGTTAGTTCTAATTATATCTACGTAATATTATGAATACGAAAGTGTTTCTATTTCGTCATTTACAACAGCTATTCCATAACCTCAAAATTTAGCAACACGTGTCATAATAATGTCAAGGATTCCTGTTATACATTTTTTTTATTGAAGGACGAATACAAGGTCATATAATAACAGAACAGAACAGTTATCAATGTGTTTATTCAATTTTCTTATAACTCACTACAAAATATTAATTCGAACAAATTAAAAGCAACAAGCAATGGTCTCGTGATATAAAATATTGGCTTTATGCCAAAAAACCAGTTCTGTTATTTTTTTGCCAATTTTCTATATACATTAAAAAGAAACGAATCGAACGCGAGTCTTTTGGAATTTTTATATATTTTTTTATATTAAAACAAGATTTGTTTGTTATGCTACTTCTCACAGTCATTATGCATGCAAGTTTAATATCATCAAATACTAGTTTATAAAGCAGCCGTCCTCAGACGTTGGAAAGATTCGCACATTGTTTTAAAAAATCGCACATTTCACATAGCGATGTCAATAAGCTGGCTTTGGTCATGCATACATATAAACTTTGGTAACTTTGTAAGGTCAAGTTTGTTTACATTGTGATATTTTTAGGGTCTACAACTTGTCTCGTCTTATTCACGTGGTGTTTATTTTTCCAGTTAATTGGTTTATAATTTATAACTAACTGACAACTTCTATGTGATTCACGTGATCAAGCCCCATGTCATCCATAAATAACTTCTTGGTGGTTGGTCTTAATGGTGGAATTATCTATATATGTAGATAAGCCGGAGGTCGCAGGATCCAATCTTGCTCAGGGCAAATTGTTATGCTTATATCAGCTATGGTCGCGATATGGAGTTAGGGCTAGTGAAAGCCGTTGAGTAAAATTATCATTTATTGATTAAGATTCAAGACTAAGAGCCTAATCCAAACTCTGTTGTATCTTATATAAATTTTACTACATCTTTATATGAATACGGCCTATACGCTATAGATTTTGAATATCAAAAAATAATTTCTTGCTTACTTCGAAAAATATTTGTTTGTTTGCTTCGAAAAATATTTGTTTTTTTGCTCAGTAGCTTGGCCTGAGCATTGAAGAATCAGCCAAGACGAAAAACTCTATGCAGATTAACAGTTTATTTTAGGCTTATCACCTGCCCCTTATTTTTTACTTAAAAGAATTATAATCCTAGATGATTAAAATTACTAACAACTAGCGGCTCACCTTTCACCTTTTCCGTGATAAAAAGTATCCTATGTGCTATTCCAGACTAATATCTATTTCTGTGCCAAATTTCATCTAGATACGTTCAGCCGTTCTAGCGTAATTGAGTTACAAACATCAATTTATCCAAACTTTCGCTTTTATATACTCGTACAAAGCATAGTAGTAAGATAAGATTAAAATTACTGTCTATCAATTAACATAATAATTATAATTCAAATTACTTTATATTATACTTTAAAAATAAATCACAGCAGTAAGTTATAATATTAATATGAACATCAGAGATATGTAGGTATACTCTTATTTTAAAACTTTGAGTAATAAATGGCTTACATATTTTGAATTTTTGGATGTTAGTTCTAAAATATTATTTTTAAACTACATATAATACCTAATATTCTAACTCTACATTGATGTTCCTTTCACTGTACTGCATTTCCCGTTACTGAGTAGACACGTGCTACTAACCTCCTTACGCATCTCGCACTGCTATTGTTTCTATCTGTAATAGTGCACTGGCTATCGCTTTTGACTTTCTTTGTTTACTATGAAAACTGCTTAAAAATTAGCACACATTCATCATAAAGTTATTTTTGATATATTTTTTTATGTTAACAGTTGTACGACGATTATTTGTATATTCTAACAATAATTGTGGTGGAGAATGAAATTATATATTATTATATGTTTATCCGTTTCACAATAATAATTTCCTGAATCGATTCGAACAAATATTGTGTAACAAGATTTCATCCGCAACTCCCCTCACGTGGTACATCGGTGAAAAGTTGGTGAGAATTTCACTAACACTCAAAAGTTGAGCAGTTAAAATGCAAAGAAGCAACAAACGTTCACGATCACAAATTTTTGTTATTAAATCATAATAACTGTAAAAACATAAATGAAAATGTAAATATACGTGTAAAGGTAGTCATTTACAAAATTACCTACACTTTTGGTCGATTTAACTTTTGTAAATTTTGAACAGATGTTTTATTAATTGAAAGTCTGTATAATGATTCTTAATAACATATGAAAAACCTTGGTATGTTCATGTAATAAATGAAAGAAACCATTCAAATGCGGTTTTTGATTTCGTGATCAAACTTGAAACTATTTAAAAATAAAACTACATTATGATATCACATTTCAAACGAATATAATCAAAACTATGTTACATAAAACGTACTCATATATGTTACATATATATTATATGGCGTACAGAGAATTTGGCTAGACATATGAGTTACTTATTTATTATCGTTGGTCCAAAGGTTACCGGATAATAGAAAAGAGGAGTTCGCTTGACGATCGCATGGCAAAGTGGTCTGAATATCTTTACCTATATATATATATATATTATATGACTGCGTAGAACTATAGGGCAAGCTAGGGGGGCTGTTACGTATTTATTGTTATTGCTATTAATATTATGTCTTAAGATAAGAGAGAGAGAGAGTCTCTCTCTCTCTCTCTCTTTCTCTCTCTCTCTTTCCAACTTGATCAATCTATACTGAACTTTTACTGTCTGCTAGAAGATTCCTGTAAACGCAGCACGCCAGCAAATTTGCGGACGTAAGCTAATTTTATATATAATAATATTTACATATGTATTTGTTACGTATATATAATTAATTAATTTATAATTATGTAACATTTTTTATGAAGATGTATTGCACTAAATTAAACTTAAGGTTACCAAACTAAACGGTATTGCCGTCACACATGTGTTTCCTAACGTCAGTGTTTGAGGTCACATTTGTATAATTCGAATTAACATTTCTTGAGTCAAATTGTTATTGCTAAGGAACGCTATATTGTTCTTTACAACACTAGTAATTTCAAGCAGTACCTCTTGTATAGGATGTAAATATAATCATTATAAATAACGTGATTTAAAAAAAAAATGTCATTATGGTGTGTACATACATATGTATGTACGGTTATAAGATATTTTTTATAAGTATATTAATTGTAGATGTAAGGCAGTTATATTTAACTTTACATATTTGTAACGCTTTTTGAACTTCTGTGTAATATTAAAATATTTTTTTAAATAACAATAATTTTTGAAATAACGTAATTTGGGAACTCATAAGACAATGTACTACTAGCGAATAACCCTCGCTATGCTTGGGTGCGTCCTTAACAATAGAAAGTAAGCGATTAGCCCATATTTTACTCCAGGTTATGGTCTAATTGACTGCAAACTAAATATTGATTAAATAATTTAAAAACAATAAATTTGACATGTATAAATATAATTTACCCAAAAGCTATAAACACTATCTTGACCATAGGTATCAACTGTTATCGCAAGTGTTTTTTAAGTCTTATTATACTACTTATTATTCTTTACCCCTTAAATGTTTAATATGTGGTTTCTTTTGTAACCGAATAGAGTGTAAAAGCTCAGATATCTATAACAAATGGCAGTAAAAAAATAAATCTTGACAGATAAATAAAATTGAAGTGTGTGTTTGTAATGTCAAAATAACAACGTTTTACTACGAGTAAATGCATATTATGAAATTGTATACGGTACTTATAAGAACAAGAAATATTTTTAGATGTTTGTCTGTCTGTTTGTTCCGGATAATCTCTGAAACGGCTGAACTGATTTTGAGGGGACTTTCACTGGAAGATAGCTGACGTTATAAGGAGTAATATAGACTACTTTTATTTAAGAAAAAGAATTAGGGTTCCGCTCAAAAACATTAAAACGTACCTAGGAACACTGAGGAAAGCGAGGCTGAGTCGCTAGTTGTACAATATTTATTTTCTCTTTCAATAAAAGATATAAGGTATTTTGTTATATACTCGTATAATGTTCATGTAACTGTTTATTATTTTAAATCTGTAAGCTCTACATTTCTACCGCTATCCTGGTTGAATTGGAATGCTTGGAAACATGTTATTATTGCGCGTTCAGAATCGCTAACCAAGTTATGGAATGAAAAACTTGCCAGTATTTCTACGACTTGCACAGTTTTTGCTTAAACATACAAATAATGATATATTTATTAAAATGTAAATAAATAAAGCTTGTA